GTTTCCAGCCTGGAGAAGAGGAGGCTGAGGGGAGACCTTATCACCCTCTATAACTACCTGAAAGGAGGGGGTAGAGAGGTGGGGGCTGACCTCTTCTCCCTGGTGACAAGTGATAGGGCGAGAGGAAATGGGTTCAAGTTATGTCAGGGGAGGTTTAGGTTGGATATTAGGAAACATTTTTTCACTGAAAGGGTTATCAAACATTGGAAGAGGCTGCCCAGGGAGGGGGTGGATTCACCATCCCTGGAGGCGTTTAAAAAAGGGTAGATGTGGTACTTAGGGACGTGGTTTAGAGGCGGTTTTGTCAGGGTAGGTTAATGGTTGGACTTCATGATCTTAAAGGTGCCTTCCAACCTCAGCAATTCTATGATTCTATGAGTATATGATTAATAACATATCATATTCAGCTGTTATGAACAATCAGTACGTTGTACAAAAAATTTGTTTGTAAGTGTGGTCCCAACAATATATTTAGTGAAGTTATATTTTAAGAAAAAATACTGTTTTATACTGATATTTTACTAATGAGAGCCCCATCTTCTCAAAGGGCTGGGCTGTCATCTCGGGGGGACAAGTAGAAAGAAGGAACAGCTGTTAGTCATGTTGCGTGATGTGTTACCGGAGATAACGGGGCTACAACTGCAGTTGGCCGCCACCACAAGTGCCACAAGGTCTGTTCCCTGCCTGCTGGCAGGAGACCTTGAGAAAAGTCCCCACCTTGGCCTATGGGGTTTTTTAAAACACTAATCCAACACTCTGCTACTAAGTGTTTAATTATTAGGATGGTGAAATACAACACCACCTAAGGCATTAATAGAAGGAACTAATTATAGCCCACTCAGCACGTGGTTTACCCTTCAGTTATAAAATCTCTTGTCATTTTTTTGTCCTTTAAATGACTTCTTGTAATACCCTGATCAGGACAAATGGATCCTTCAGAAGGGAGAAAATGACCCCGAACTGGCACAGAAAGATTTGATTAAAACTTATACTCCTTCTGTGGCAGCCTAAAGATCCCGGAGGACCTGCCATCGCTCTCAGAGGGGAGGAAAGAGCAGACAGGGAAAACGCTTTCTGTCTGAGGCAAAAATATTATATTGCTAACGTTCTGCCATCCACGCTCTGCAGGACCATCCTGTGATCAGAGTCTCATTTCCTTTAAAACTCAGTGTCAGAAGTTTGGTTCCAGTGTGATTAATTTCCCCTTTACTGATAGTGTGTCGTTTACTTTTAAGTAAGATTTTTATAAATGAGGCAAAACAAAGACAGAGATGAAGATTGTGCGGAGATAAACATTTGTGCTGCTGGGACTCCCACTGACTCGGGCACAGCAGGGGCCAGAAGTAATGGGGATTCAGAGGAACCATGATTAGACCTCTTGCTGAGACCAGGTAATTGAAACACAATAGCCCATCACCAGCATTTACAAAACAGCCATGAAGGTACTTAGTTTAAAGCAGACCCTGAGCAAACCAGAGGCTTCGCACACTCCCGCTGCCATTCTGTAGGAGGAACACGTAAGCTGAGGCCATCGATAAAATGTACTTGTGCTTGCCCAGGCAGCACTCCCCTGACACCAGCCCGGCGAGGTCCCCTGAGCCATGGCTGTTTCTGTGCCCTTCTGGGGGCGACGCACGAGCTGTCGGCCTGGCTTTGGGGGGGCACCAGGCAGAAGCAGAGGGGCCTCAGAAGCAATACAGCAAGTCGCCTTGGCCAACAGTCCTGTCCCTCGGCTGCGAAGCACTGGCAGAGAAGGGGTATGTGTCAGGCGGGGGCCTCGCACCGACCTTTGGGTGAACGCCGAAGCTCCCTCGGCGGGTGGGAGGCTGACGGCTCGCTGTCACCCACAGTGGAGACAGCGCCACAGCAGTTTCGAGGCCCAAAGCCTGATTGGGATATATCGCAATACTCGGTGTGTTGTGTGGCATGAGGAAACGTGCTGCCTCCAGACACTTCCCTCCTTGTCTGTCCCCTGACATAGACGTCAGCCCCCCGTGGGTTAAGAGCCGTTTCCTGACCAGCCTTCTGCAGCGGTGTCTTTAAAAGTGTGATTGATGCAAATGTGTGATGGAGGTGAGAAACACTCTGATTTATGCCTCATTTTCATTGCTCAGCAATCGATGCTCTCATGAAAGCCTCTAAATAAACCTTTTGATTGCAGTAGATTGCGCTTCACCAGCCTGGGCCTCCTTCCGCCAAACTCCACTAAAAAGTTATCTCAAGGTATCTCAAGGAGATGTTTCTAGTTTTTAAGACAATGGGAGATGAATAAACAGATTTAAGTTTCTTTCTCTCCCATTTGAGAAGAAATGTCAACTGAAACTTTATACACAGATGGAAAAAGAGGTAATTGTCCCATGGAGCTGAGACAGGGCCCTAGAACACCAGACTGTGGGTCCTCTGCTGAGTTTTGGTGGTGTCCAGACACCCCCAGTTGACGTGTGACAGATTTCCTGGCCGTATGTTGGCAGCAGGGATCATCAGAGCTTTCAGCAGTTTGAGTGGTTATTTAGGTGTTTGCAGCACGCTTCGTCATTCCTACATAAAAGTACTCATTCAAAAGGCACATAGTAATATTTAAAATATTAGAACAATCATTCAAATGAACTGAACACCTCGTTATGCACTTACATGGTATATACAGCTCCTACAGTTAGATAAAAAGATCAACGAACAATGTTATTATTAACAGGAGTTTAAGCGTCACATCACCAGACTTGTGATTGCAAATGCTTAGTGAGAAAAAGGAGGAATATTTTCTGTCCAGGTAATTGCACAAATGACAGGGCTTGACAGGAATGACAAATATGATACTTCTTCAAAACGAGCATTCTGAAAATCTAACTCCATTCTGTAAGTCTCTTTTTTACTGTGGAATCTGATTTATGAATTCTGTTCATCAGTCCTTTTTCTATAAAATGAAGGTTTTATTATTTGTTACTTCCACTACTGTTTGCTCCAAGACCATCTATACTAACGGTTTTGGGCTGTTTTGGTATGACCACAGCAGCGTGCGTATTCCTCAGGTCTGCTCAAAAGGAATGGCATAACAAGCTGCTGCGAAGATCAACACTACTGGTGGCAGAGCAGACCCTCAGAGCACACGGCCACGCGCCAGTCCGTGGTCTGCTGCAAGTTCTCTCGGTGACTGCAGTCAACCAAGGAGCACCTTCAGCCTTAATTTCTGCTCTTTAAGAGTAAACACTGCATATTTACCTCACAATGATGCTGGGAAGATGTATTAGCTCAGTGTGTATGTCTTCTACATCCTTGAAGACAACGAAATAATGAACGTTACTACCTGTATGGGCAACTGTGTATGTGTGAACATTCTCAGTTGCTATACAATAGCTTTTCATGAAAACAGTTCTGTTTTTTCCATGTAAGAGAGACACAGTTTTTTCTGGCAGTAGCAGCTGTGGGGCTGATCCCATCTGATGGTTCGGTGTTTGTAAGCACGGTGTGCGACAGAGCCAACACAAGTCTACAGGGACAATAAACACACAGACTACTTCATTATTATTTTTAATCTTGCATAATTTTCAGAAGAAATAGCAAAACACAGCGCAATTCTGATCTTACCAATATGGTTGTAGTTTGCAATAAAGAAGTCCTCTCGGTTATTAGCAGTGCTGTTAGGTCACTGGCCCAACTGGAAGCCTTCCGTCTGGCATCATAAATTAAAGACTGTTTGTCAGAATGGGGATTTATTGTGTAAACAGACCCTGCTGCTGCAGTTGGGAGAGCTCAGCTGCCCGCCCCTCAGCCACAGTCTTCTATCGCACTTGACTGAAGTTTCCAACCTTGAATTATTAGTCAATAACGTCTGAGCAAAAGCATAATTTATTGTTTAGGTAAACTTTGAAGCAGAAGAAGAGTGCCTAAGCTACCAGACTTAGTGCTTGCCTCAGGCAAAGAGTTTTTCTTTTAGCACAGAATTGTAATAGAACAGAAGTAATATTTGGGACTAATTCCATCTCTTATTGGCCGTGTAACTTACCCAATAGCAGAATGCTCTCTTCTGAGCTATTCTTCCCTCATTCACGTATTGCAACACCGATAGCCATCACGCTACAACTGAGCGTGGGCCAACTGAGCACATCCAGACACCCACAAACCACAAGATTTAAAAGTACCACATCTGTGGTTTCTGTACAGGGAAATTTGCTGCTGCCCCTTCTCTATCATGTCATCTGTTTTATCAATGGTGCTTAAGGAAACCCATTAATTTCTTTATCATGGTCACTTGTAGCTAATTTAGAGAAGGAAGTTATTTGAATTAAAGGAATAACCATAACTTGTCCTCTGTCAACAATTTCTGAGCATTTACAGTATTTACAATAGTGCAGTAATACTAACAGCCACCAGATGCCAGCATGAGCAAACAGGCACTCAATAAGTGCCTCTTACGCTAAAAAGCAAGTATGGTGCAGACCTCCCAGGTCGTTACGCGGTTACAGTCACGCTACCACTACAAGTGTATTTTCTCTTAGCTGTTTCAGTGTCATAGGGGAATAAAAGATCTCCTCATCAGGTCAGATCCGCACGGCACCGTACTAAAGTGAATCTTGGATTTAAAGAGACCACTTACTGGAGAGAGGACTGTCTCGCTGGCCTAGCTGGGAACTGCCTTCTCCGCTCAAAACTGGCTTATTTCCATACGGAACTTTGACTGGAATTTCTAGCGTGGTAGATCTCTTCTTTCCCTTTGCATGTTATATTAAGGATCCTTAATCTCAGATCTTCCATTTGTGTAAATCTGCATGGAATATGCTAAAATCACTCCAGCATCTCTTCAGAGCAGCGCGGACCTTCCAGACACGTCACGTCCTTGGCTGCGGGCATGCGACCAGCGTAGGCAGGAAGAATAAAAGGGCAGATACTCATGGTGCAAACATAATGCAACGACTTCTAGCGCAGATGGTTCTTTCTTTCTGAATTGTTCAGTGCTTCTGCCAGAAGCCTTTCCAACACCATAAAGTAGCCACAGCCTTCTGAAATTAATGGAATGACTGCAATCGCTTCTCACAGATTTCTTCCAGAGCAGAGAACTTTGGTCCAAGAGTGTTCAAAAAATCAGCAGGCAAATCCTCGCTGCCGACGGAGACAGAGCAGAAGGAGCTACTTCGCTCTAGTTCTCCTTCCTCAGCGTATCTGTGAGGTTCATAGAGGGCCCCATAATCTTCCACTGTGTTTTCATGATACAGTTTCTAAAGAAGGGAAGACACAATGCAAATCATCGTGGAAGCTCCTATTGCCCTCTCAGAAATTAAAGTAATTTGCGGTATGCAAATTAGGCAGGTAAGCCAGGAGGTTACAGTGAAGAGTATGAGTCGTTCTCTCACAATGAAAAGTTTTACTGAAACTATCAGCTGCGCAAGCACCAGAGCCTGAACCTCCCCTGGAGCACCGAGGCAGGAAGGAGCAGTCGATGTGCCCTGGAGCAGCCAGCTCGCTCGGGAACCTGACTGCGTGCAGGTATGCGCTGTGGCCCAAGGAGGCATGGAGGACAGGCCCAGGAACAGGCGGTGGCCAGACCGCACATGGCAAGAGGATTTCCCTGCTGGCACAGCAGTGGAAGAGCAGGCAACCAAACCTTCACCCTGCACAGCAACAGAAAGCACTGCAGCCCCACTTCCCCGCCTGGAAGAATGTGTTGGAGGTGGCAGACCCCAGCCCTGCAGTACGCCGGGTGACCCGCCAGATGCAGCGAGGCGTCCAGGAGACACCACATTTTCAACAAGGAGTCATCTTCAATGTTTCCCCATCAAACACGTCCCTCGCTTTTGATTGGAATGCTTCTTAGGTATGGGCTGAGAGTAGCTGAAACCATAGCAGCTTCCCAGCTTTGCGAGCCATTTTTCCTGTTCTTACAAGCCAGTTTGGCAAAGGAGGGGATCAACATTCATTTCTTACCCGACCCAGTATTTTGTCCACTGTCTGCATGATGGAATCAAGGTGTCTGTCTTGGAAAGTCTGGTAACTAGCGTACAGGCCGCCCTGGAAGAAAGACGCAGTATCTCAGGTTTGACAGCATTAAGGCAGTTGCTAACATTTCTTCCAGATAGAAACAAATCCAACTATCTTTCTCTCTGTTACGCCCGTTTCTCTTGGGCTGTCTTCTCCGGTTACATTGCAGCTTTTTCTGTTCAAGGACGTTTCTTCTGATGAGTACATACTCCACGTGTACCTGGAGTCACCAACTGTAGGCATTCTTCATAATTAGTAATTAAATACGTTTCTTCCTCTAAATTTATTGGATTCCTTTTCATTAACGGCACCAAATATGACCTCAGAACTTTATAAAGTCTATTCACATAGGTAATCCTCCCTCCTGTAGTCTTAAGGATTGTGGAATTGGGTTCTCACATACATAAAAAAACCCTATTTTACATTTTCTTTGCCTGCTGTAAGAGATGGTTCTTAGAGTGTCTTGGTGATCACTATGTACTTAGGAACAGAACACATGGCTGTCACCTACTGATGTAGACCAGACTTTCCTTCAGGCATTCTTTACAATAAAAATAGACATCTGTTAGAGAATACAGTACAAAAATCCACAAAACAAACTCAAAAGCCTTCAAACTCCCAGAATTACATCTCATAGTCATAAAAATACTTATAAATCCTTTCCACACTTTTACACTATGTTAAGTAGAAGATGTTACCCAGCATGTTTTTGATAGATATCTGAAGAATGATGGTTACATTTCACTTATACCAAGAACTGAATAAAATCTTGTGCATATCAATTCAGGTACTGTGATAAGAATTTTGGAAGAAACGATGCTTCCAACTATTTAGAACAATAACTAATGAAAAGAAGTGTCAGTCTCAAACTGAAAGCTGCTAGAAAAAAATAAGTTGGCAACAGTATTTTAAATAGTAGGGGAATCTCCAACAAGTGATGCTTATTTTCTAAATGAAATATATTGCATTATTTTTCCCACTGTTATTAACACCAAACCTCATTCTTGGGATTACTAATTTCTGTGGTATAGAAAAGGGCATTTACACGAGGAAACGGGCAGTTACCTCAGCAATCACTTCTCCTCCAGTCTCCAGAGACACTGGTGGCAGAGCAGTGTGATCTGTGACGTGCAGCTTGGCCTGCGTACAGGGAGAGGGACAGTGTTAGTAAGAAGCTGAACTAGGCTGGCAAGGATCACTCTTTTGCAGTCTATTCCCCTTTTCACTTGCATTTATCTCCCTGTTGAAAACACTAGTACGTGCAGTGGGACAAGAGCTGACGTGCCCCCTCCCTGCTGGGTTCACCAGTAGGATGAGGCACCTGGGAAGGTCCTGCTGATACTGAAAAACGGTGGGAGTGATAATAGTCTGTCACCAGAGCAGCATTATCCAGTCTGTGCAGAACACCACTCCCCGGATATGCTTAGTGGCAAAAAAGCTTTATTTTGCTCAACTCTAAAACCAGAGGAAACAATAAAAGAGGTGACTGGTACCAGATTCAGCCGCACAGCACTGGTGGGGTAACGTGAATATAGGCTTTTGCACTTACTTGAGACAAATTCATTCTGCTCTCTTCATTGTAGTTGATTAAAGTCTGTTCACCCTCTCCGGGTGTGACAATGGCTTTGCTTTTAGATCCTGGCACGTAAAACTGGCGAAGTAGAATACTGGAAACTGTTGGGACAAGAAAGGGAATGGTGAAATGGGACAGTGGACAGATCTGTGTGGCTCAGTAGAGGGGGCTGGTCAGGTCCCAGCTCCTTCCAGTCGCGCTCACGCGGAAACATCAGCGCTGTAGCTGGGCAGACGCTGGGCCGGGCGCGATGCGCCTGCTGCAGAGAGAGCCGTTATCTCCACCGAGCTCCGCACCGAGCAGGCACGCTGCAGCACTCGCAGACCGACAGAGGAACCGGGGTCAGATAAGCTATTACTTTTCACTTCAGATAAAGAATCGGTAGTTCACCCCTTCAGCAGTACCCAACAGGAGCTGTTACAGAGGAAGCAGCTCTATAATAAGCAGTTACTGAGCAGTGTAACCCTATGGGGGAAATTCATTACTTCCAGTTAGCCCGTATGTGGTTAATGTCAAAAAAGTCAAGTATTCCATTGTATTCAATGTAAATAAGAATGTTTACTTTGTTGTACTAGAGTTCAGCTTCACAACACATTTACATTTGCCAGTCATCTTCTAGCCACAATATAATCATGATTTTCACAAGTAACAAGCTGAAAAATTCCACCTGTTAACATTGCATTTCTGGGGTTTTTTTAGTTTAGGTATTTTCTTTCTTCCTAGGTTATATACCTGTGTTTATTGTTGTTCATACAATAGTATTCCATGCATCTACGTTATCTTCCCTTTTTCACTTCTCTATAGTACACAGTCCTCACCTTTCCACATCCCAACCACGAGTGCAGGTTGTTTCACTGATCTTTCCAGCGCCCTTTGCCCTGTGTTGTCAGCCGTGGATACCACCTGCCTCTGCATCACACACTGTCTCACAGTGCCTACTCATTTGAAAGTTTTCTGGGCTATCAAAAAAGATCTTTTTGGTTACTAGATGGAAATGGCAATGTCTTGTGTTGGGCAACTAAGGTCTTCCTGAAATTTGAAGAGAGAACAGGTCATGGACCAGGACACATGGATGAAAGCACTATTAAGAGTGCAAGTATTAATTGCTTGTACCTTGGCTACACTCCAACGCATTCGGGCAAACGGTCTTTCCTGTTAAGGCTGGTAGATTTTAGCACGTGTTCATGAGTCACAGTTGCAATGAGATACAAGGGGCAGATCACAGGTAACTTGCACACCTAAGCTAGGAGGTTACTTACCCAGTAGCAATAAGAAAGCCATCAGTATTATCACAATGGCACCAACTCCAAGTCCCACTGCTGCTTGTGGAAGTGGTGAATCTTTACACGTATGTCCATCTGGGCAAAAGCAGAGCCTAACGTGCTGATTCTGCCTTGTAGAAAATCCTTGCCCATCCTGAATAATGATGGGGACCAAGTAGCTACCTTGTGGGAGGCTTCTTAACATTAGAAGTTCAACTGACTCCCCTAAAAAGAAGACAAGCAAATTATTTCAAGACTCATAGAAAGAAGTCTGACATCAGTAACAAACCATAAAGGTAACAGGCAGTGAAATAACCAGAGGGCACGTACACGACATGAAGGATATGAAAGGAAGAACTCACCAAAGTTCCTTCCTAATTTCCAGTTATGCTTCACATCTTCAGAGTCCTCAGCCAGCTCAAATGTAAATGGCCCAGAATGTGAATGGACTGTAGCAGACTCAGCTTTTATCATGAGAGGTGTCCCTTCTTTTTTGTCACACACATCTAAAGAAGGAGCCACTAATGTTGGCATACGATCATTAATGTCCGACAAGTAAAGCAGGATGGTGCCAGTAGCAGTCTGTGGTGGAATACCTAGACGGGAGTAAAAGAAGCAGAAAAACACTCGTAACTGGGTATGGACAAAAGCCAGGCCATTGGCAGGATCTCTGTCTGGTTTATCCTACTAGTCACACGTAACACAAGTTTTAAACGTTAGGGTGTTTGTTCTGCATTACCATTCTCCACCGAGATCCTTAGTCTTACTGTCATTCTATATCTAACACACACCTCATCTCAAACAGTCCATATACTGCTTGAATATTTTCTGACCAGCTACTTACCATGATGAGTAGCCTCAACGATGATGGTGTACACACTGTTGTTCACATAAGGAGATTCTTGATCAAATTCTTTTGCCACAGTGAGAACTCCAGAATTCTCATCCACGCTCAGCCAACCAGCTGGGTCATGGGCTAGTTCATATCTTAAAAAGAAAGGAAAAAGTTACAAGTGCTGTATTTTCTTAAATGAATTTTGAAGAATATAAAATTTCTACTGCATCTTTCTTTGTCCTTTTGAGCTCTGTAGGTATTTTCCCTTGGTAGTGAAGTTCACTTTTGTTAACTCTAGGACAAGCTGTGCGTTTCAACACAGCCAACAAACAGTTCCCCATGCAAGTCCCCATACCTTGCACAGGCCCATCAAAACTGTTCCTAGGGGCTAAGAAAGTATCTAATCCCACGTGAGATCAACACTCTTACAGCCAAGCACACCTTAGTCCTTTCTATGGCATCAAAATTTTGTCATCAAAAGTAAAATATATAAATAATGCAACCTGGTTTTAGGCAAAACTATTTTGAAGACAACAGAAGCACTGAGCAACCAAGGACTGACTGCACCTTTAAATTCCATCTTACAGAACCAGCAACCTGCATCTGCAGTATCATCAACACTAAATCTGCACCTCTAATGTATATGTTCATGTAGCTGTAAATATAGATGTGTGTGGATACTCACATATGTACATATACCAAATTAAACTTGAAAACCTCTTTATATTCCTAAGCTATTTCTTATTCTGAGCGTTAGAAGCATCTCCACTTACTTTATCTCATTAGGCACATCATCTGGATATGTGGCCAGATACCTTCTAAATACTCTCCCAGGCTTCATTGAGTCTTCTTTTTGGACAATAAGTATAGGAGGCTGAAACCTAGGAGCATGTTGTAAGACCTTGATGTTGATCGTTGCATTGGTGGATTCTAGGCTTGAGATCATCACAATGCCGTTTTTACACAAGAAGAAAGGTTCTTCATTTGCTACAGAAATGACAAGTCTCAGCTCAGAGTCATCTTCATAGTTGAGAGGCTGAAAACCCCAGACAAAAGTCTGATTAGCAGCTATGACCTTTGGTTTGGCCGTCATCTCTACATACCTGCAACTCAGAGGTGAGCTGAGCTCACCAAACTCAGGTAAGCCGCTAAGCCATTGGTCTTGCAACCAGACTGGCCACGCTACACGCTGCCACGCTGCAGGCCATCTATTACTGCTCCTTACCTTGATAACACTCAAAATGCCTTCATTTGTGTCTGGATCCGTCTCAATGGTGAACTGTTCCTTCTCATTGCCTGTCGTTATTCCGTATTTTGCTCTCCAAGCTGGAGTGTTGGGAGAGTCTTCATCTTGCACTTGGAGCCGTAATACAGCTGGGTGTTCCTGACCTGCTGAAACCTGCAGCTGGTACTGGGAGGGGAAAGGAAAGCAAGAAGGACTATTTCTATTCCTCAAGAGGAAGAAGCTCGTTAGCCAGTTCTGAGCCAGGGTTCCACCACCAGACCGTGCGGAGCTACTTTCTGCACACACTGATGTTGTCTGCAGTGGCTCATGCGTCCCCGCTCAGTGACAGAGAACCCTTATGGGAGTGACAGAACTAACTATCCTCCGGCACATTCCCACTGACTTCATACAGAACTTATCACTAAACCTGATCTCCATCTAAAACCAGGACACTGCTCATCTCTCCTAATACTGACGATAGCAATAGGCCCACAAATGCCACTGGGGCTTTTCATCCAGGACAGTCTTCTGCCATGTAGAGGAGATTGGTGCGTACAGGCTTAGGCCAGAACTAGTCTGCAGATGTTACATACCTGACCTTGCAGAAAGCAAGAATGTGTGAGATTTTAGGTCCTTTCTTCACAATGGTTTAAGTTTTTGCCACCAGCTTGCCTAACTAGCACGCCAAAGACAAGCTAAGAAATGCCAACTAAATCACCTGAGGCAGAACCATGCCTCAGAAGATGAGATGGTAATAAACGATGAAGAAAATCAACACAAATTACATAAGCTGGTTGCTGGTTGAGATCTGAAAATTCAGACTCTTGCCTTCTAATACGTAAACAATACTGTCCTTGCATCACAACTTTTACAAATGCTGTGCTCAGACAGAGGGAACCAATCCCTCCTGTGAGAAGGCCGGGAGTTCCACCAGACAGGAGTTAATCATGATGAAGAACAGATTTCCCGTATAAACCTATTCTGGCAGATTATCTAACCTTATTCCCTCGGTCTCCCAAACACCCTTCTGCAGGCAGGAGACCTGCCATAGTAACACACTGGTGTGTTTGCTTTCATAGCTGACTTTGCGCTCGCTGTTGTAACCCAGTACCTATTCTTACTGCTCACAACTTCAAGTATGTACACACACCAGTGCTTGGCATGGCTCCGCACTCTGCACGTGTGAACTGGTTTGGGCTGGGATAGTTAGTTTTCTTCATGGTAGCTTGTATGGTGCTATGGTTTGGGTTTGTGACGAAGGCAGTGTTGATGACAGAGGGATGTCGGGGCCGTTTCCACTCCTCCCCCCAGGCAGGGGCTGGAGGGGCACAGCCGGGAGAGCTGACCCCGGCTGACCCAAGGGACGGCCCACACCACGTGGCGTTGGGCTCTGCAATGAAAGCCGCAGGGGAGGAGGAGGAAGGGGGGGACGTTCGGAGTTTGGGCACTTGTCTCGCCCAGTAAGCACACTGCGTGATGGGCTCTGCCTTCCTGGGGAGGGCTGGGCACCCGCCCGCCCATGGGAAGAGGGGAATGAACTCCTTATCTTGCTTCACTTGCACATGCGGCTTTTGCTTTACCTGTTAAACTGTCTTCATCTCAGCCCACAAGTTTTTGCACTTTTATCTTTCCAATTGTCTCCCCTACCCCTCGGCAGGGGAGCGAGCGAGCGGCGGGGGGTGCTCAGCTGCGTTAAACCACAGCAGTGTGTCAACACGCAAATCACACAAACAGTCTTCATGGCACCTGAGCTATTAACGGGACCAGAGCCAGAAAATGGATAGCTCTTATCTCAGCTCAAGCGCAGCTCTCTACCTGCTCGCAGCCCCTCACGCCCTCTCGCTGCCCGCCAGCTCCGTCGCTCCCTTCGCCAGCCACCACTGCCCACGGAGCCACCGCAGCCACCCCCCAGCCAGCTGCGCCCGGGCGGCAGGCGGGCTTAGGGCCATTGAGGTCTTCCTGCATCAAAACTTGGAGCTTTCAGGAGCAGACTGCAACCAGCACCTTAGCTGCCCAGCGTCAGAACAGCCTGGTCTGACCGCATCCGCAGGGCTACGGCAGACAAAAGCCCTCTGGTGCTGAGCACGGAAAGCGAACACAGTCTGTCGCTCCCCACAGTCCGGCATTCTTCTACCATCCACACTTCTAACAGGTAGTTCTTCTAACACACAAAGCACGTCTGCGAGTGTTTTGGCCTCACTCTGCAAGCGTCTGAGGGTTCCTATGTCCACCGCTGAGTGTATTCAGCAGTTTGAAGGACTGAACTGTATTTAGGAGGGGTCAGTACAGTAATAATGTTCTTCCTTACGTTATCGCTAGTAAATACAGGGAGGTGGTTGTTTCTGTCTTCAATGACCACATTCACTGTGGCAGTAGATGACAGCTGGGGAGTCCCGTGGTCACTGGCTTTAATCAGAAGTTTGAAGGAGGTGGCAGTCTGAAAAACAGAAGAAAGGAACTTTCGAGCTCAGTGCCGAAGCAGTTCCCACATTCTGCCCGTGACAGCTACGAGGCCGGCTGCGAGGCTCTCCCTCCCCTGGAACCTGGTGAACGGGTCCTGAACATGTATCATGCATTAAATGACAAGAAGGTGCCATATGTACGTTACCTTATAATCCAGGCATCCCGACAGAAGTATTGATCCTGTGATAGGATCAATATTAAACATGAATCCGTCTAGAGGGGGCATTTGCATATTTAGAGAATAGGACACCTGAGAATTCACAGTGCCGTCTTCATCTTTATCCAAGGCAGTAACTTGGAAAACTGGCTCATCTAGGATGAAGAATTGAGGCATTAATAGAAGTGTTTAGTCTTGGCGTGGAGTTTCTCAGACCTGTCTGCAGGGTCCAGGACATGCAAGTCCTAAGAACAGCGATACCTTCTCCCGTGGCTATGGTTATCGCTGCAAAGCCTCTGGCCTCCACCTCACTTGGGCAGCAAATCTGCCTAAAGTACCAATAGCCAACTGAAAGAGTTATCAAATTCCTGAATTTACGTTATCAGAAACATTCACTGGTTGGTTACGCCAGCGCTCCGCCAGCTCCTGAGGAGTTGGCACCACGGCCACGTGCCCACACATCCACACCCTGTCCTTGTACTGTAAAACAGTGTGTCTGACCATCTCCTGTGCAGCGCTGCGCCTGCGCAGGCTCCACATCCACGGTTCAGGTTAGTCTGCTAAAGTCTCGGCTTGTAGTTAAGAAGAAACATGTTAGGGGTTTTTCCAGCGTGTCTCCAGCGCTCCGCTAATGTACAGCGAGGTCAAGCAGACACAAAGCGAAGAGGCGGGAAAGAGGCCTTCACAGGATATAGTCCCTAAAGCCGCGAGTGTTTAAGGAAAACCTGGGCAGAACAGATGTAGTAAGAAAAGAAGAAGAAAGACAAAGAAATTAAAAAGAGAGCAATCCCACACAAACCAGTAGTATCCCTTGTTTGGGTGGCACTTACCTTTACTGTGGTTCTCTCTTATTGTAACACTATATTCCTCCTGGGGAAACTCAGGTGCGTTGTCATTAATATCTTTAACCTTTATCTTGAAAAATAAAGGACGGTCCAATGGTTCACCAGTTTTTCTGTACACAATATCGAAACGTATCTAGATGAGCAGCGACACAAATATCAGAATGGAATGAATGGCATCATTTAGACATCAGAATGGAACAAAGAACTTTCGATTTTGACACTGCTTCAGTTCTATTTGGCTAGCGTTTGGCTTTGGGTTGCATTGCTAAGTCATTATTTCACCTTCAAAGTTATTAGATTCATAATCGTCATCCTCTGCATTAAACGATATTTAAAAAAAAAAAATAAAAATCAGTACCTGAAGCTGGATCTGGGTTATTTGAAATGACTGCCTAATATAAAACACATAAATATCCCTGGGGCCAGACAAAAGAATGCTTTCACCTGTGCTTCCCAATTCTAAAGCATTTATTTGAGCAGTACATTCCATTTGCTACGATGTTTTGGCTCCATATCCATGGACGTGCAGGGGATTCAATTCCGAATACTGAATTCTCTTTTGCTGCACTTACTTCTGCTGTACAGCCAAGCCCAGAGCCTCCGCCCCGGAACAGCCCCGTGTCCAGCGAGGGCGAATAGAAAGCCCTCCAAAATTTAACTGTTCGTTGTGGAAGGGAAGACCTTGCACAGAAAGCCACAGGGAACGGCAACTACCAGTTGGGTACAGTTAATCCAGAGAGACACAAATAGAAATCATCACAGAATAAACATAAGGAGACCACAATTGCAGTTTTTTTGCAAGAGGAAAACAAACCCACACTCCCATATTTCGTTCATACACTTGTTACCACATTTCTTTCATTACACTGACTGCTTAGGAACACTTTTCTGCTTCTTAAGGAGAAACATATGCTTACTCTTCTATAAAATTACAGTAATACAGCTTTGCAGCTCCTCCAGTATTATCTATTTTTTTGTAACATGTAACTATTTGCTTCCGTTCTCTTGATCGAGAGGTTTTGGGTTTACAGCTCAGTGTTCTGGCCACTGCGGCTGAAACACACTTCGACTTTCAGGATAAGCTCTTCATTTTTCACATTATGATCACGGGTAATACAAAAAAAAAAAAAAAAAAAAAAAAAAAAAAAGATAGAAAAGAAGTGTACAGATATTTGTGGAAGTCCAAACACGCGACAAAGGTTTATAATTGCGAGCGATGTGGAAGTTACCAATTGGTCTCTGCTGAGACAATGACCTTAGCGTTTAGTTAGAGGTTCAAAATCAGAAAAGGAGGTCATAGAAATACGTATCTCATTCTTGTGAAGCATTTAGCCACGAGAAAGCAATTAATATTTGCAAACAGTTTTAAGTATTTTTTTAAAGTGTGTTACCTGAAAAATTGAGGTCTTTTCTCTGTCGATGGGACGATGCACATACACATGTCCGTTTTCATCATCTTCTATAGAAAACAACCCAATCTCTGGAGATTCATCTACCCCGGGTCCACTGATTAAATATCTTACTGATGTGTTAAATGATTTGTTATTGAACAGCTTTGGGAAAAAAAGCAGCACAAAGCAGTGTGAGTAGGGAAGACGGCACAGCAGTAAAAAGTCTTCAGACCGATTCTCGTCCTGCGCCCCTTCTCTGCAGGCTCTGCTGACTCAGCAGCGTCGTGGCCGCAGCACCGCGGCTCTGCACAGCGTGCGCATACGCAGCTCAGCGCCATGACTCTCTTGCCTCTCCCGCTCCAGAGTCGCCTTCCCCCGAGGCTGCCTGCAGCTTCCCGTAGAGAGCAGCAATATACCCCCCACCACTCAATTCCACCCAACTCCGGGTAAATAAGACAACTTTGAACAAATAATTATTTTATTTTAAAAAGGTGCTGTTTGGTGCACAATTCCCACCCTCTCCTGCCTGTGGCATTTTAACGCACAGTCTGTGGTGATGGACATCTTACTGAGGCTCAAGAAGAACTCTTGCTAAGGGGTTGGTTGTACCTGTCCAGCATATTTTGGGAATGGTCCTTTGTCCTCCTCTTGAACATCAATGGTGGTGATGACCCAGGTCCTCTTTGTGCGCTGCAGAGGTCGTAGACTGTCTAGTTGATAAGAATCTATCCACTGTTGGATAAAGAAGTGTATTTAGTGTCATAGTTCCATATTAACAGTTGGGTATCTGTTGTTATTATATAATATTGACTACAGACCTGGATATTCTTCTTTTGGATGGCTTGTCTTAAACTGAAATGTTCGATTTCATGAGAAAAACTGTTGGCAGCAGTAACCTTGTGGGGAAAAAAGGGATTGTGAGAAGTGTGGTTAACTGGAAACCATTGATATGTGGTCTAGGAGGACTTTGGCTTCACAGAAACATATTGATTCAGCTTTGACAGCATTACATTAAATTGTATCTAACCCCAGAAACTCCGCAGGTATCATCCATCTCATTCCAAACGAATCAGCGTGAAAGCCTGGATACTCATTTTGCTGCTCGGGCGGTGCCAGTCCCAGAAACACGCAACCACTGCGTCTGACAGTCTGTGGTATTATCTCTATGGCTTTTCTCAAACCAACTATCTCCAGTTTTTAAAATACTCAGCTCTGTCTCTCGCTGCCCGGTGCTCCTTCAGAAGTTGTCTGGTTTTGACAGGACATAAACACACTACTGGAAAAAGGTTCAGTCTGGGCACTATTTCAGGTTGTCAGAAACTCTGGCAGGTGACGCTGTGTCCCAAACACCGTTCATCTACCAGAAGATGAACGCTGGACCAGAGTTTCTAATCCATGTGAGTAAAATAAATTGTTGAGAATGGTGACTGCACCCTAATTAGCAGGATTTGCCCTTTTATAAGCACAAGCTTCCTACGCCAGCATCACACACTGCTTTTTACTGGAAATCTTCCACCCCACAGGAGTATGGCAGTGTTCAAATTACACTATTGCCATCAGTCACAGGTAACTTTACACCTCCCCAAGTTCTCGCTGCTTTCCCTGGAACGCCTGGCGTTTATGACTCAGTCCATCCAATCTAAAAAGTGAGAGCTCTTCCTGCCTGGGCGAAGGCGAAGGTCAGGCCTTTACCCCGTGACGTTTTTCTGAAGAAACAAAATCGCATTGCCGTGGTTATGTTTGCCGAGCGCTGGGGGTTCAGCGTTCAGTAACGCCTCGGGGCTGCGCTGTAAAGCTGCTGTGTGACCCGGGGAAACCTCCACGATGTGCAAACAGCCAACGGGGCTCTCACCGGCACTTGCACGTGGTACTTACCAGTTTTGTTCCAGGTTCAGCTCTCCGGGACCCCCCGACCAAGCTGCTTCCCCTTTGTGTATGTGTAGCCACTTCTATTACATTGGAAGTTTTAATTGTATATGTTATGGCTTCCCCACTCCTCCCTGTGCACCAGTTGCACAGCAGCGGCTGAGGCTGTTGCGGTACCCGTTCCAGCCACGGGCACTGCTGGAAAGGAACAACCCAGTTCAGGCCCACGAACCCCATCGAAACACTCGGGGAAGTGCCACTGAATTACTGTGGCCTTCCAGTCCCTAATGGGGCTCCAGGAGAGCTGGGGAGGGACTCTTCATCAGGGCCGGGAGCGATGGGACCAGGGGGAACGGTTTGACACTGAAAGAGGGGAGATTTAGATGAGATGTGAGGAAGAATTTCTTCCCTGTGGGGGCGGTGATCCCCTGGGGCAGGTTGCCCCGAGAAGCTGTGGCTGCCCCATCCCTGGAGGTGTTCAAGGCCAGGTTGGACGGGGCTTGGAGCAACCTGGGCTGGGGGGAGGTGGCCCTGCCCAGGGCAGGGGGTGGCACT